GAAAGAAACTAACCAATACTATACTAAGGACAAAGACAAAGGAGTTGCTTCATCAATATGAAGAAGGCTTGCTGGAAGGAAGATGTAGGATGTCAACTAGAAACCACAATTATAAATAAATAGAGAGAGAAATGTGTGGGTCTCTCTCTCTCTCTAGCTCTCACTTTATATATTTACCCCTTTCTCTCTCTATCTTGCTCAGTCACTCTCTCTCTCTAGAGAGAGAGAGAGAGAGAGAGAGAAAGAGGTTGATCCTTTGGATTAGATTTGTTTGCCTTCCTTGAGAGCTCTATGTATTTATGGCTTCTAAACAACTGAGTTGCTTGCTTGCCTCACTTTCGTTCCAAATTGAAAGATTAGAAGATTAAGAAAATAATTTAAGATAGATAGCTAGCTTATGTTGTTATATATTTATTTGTTTTAATTAGCATAATTTTAATTTTATTATCTTTGACAAGAACATTACTCATTCATAAATATATTTAATATTAGAAACTTAATAAATTTTGAAAGAGAACGGGTAGAATATGAGAGAAAAGGGGGGCATGTTTACACTTTTGAGTGTCAAAATAAATTGATAATTCGAGTTCAGGAACGACTATAAATTGACTCTACCCGTTTAATAAATAGGCAAAAAAGATCAAACTGAACCTGGCCTATTTCAACTCGAATGACCTAAACTTGACCAATTAACTTATTAATTATAAAATTTAGGATATTTGATAAAAAATAATAATATTATTATATCTACAAGTAAAAAAATTTATTAAGCAGATCACTTCAGGTCAATCAGAATCCAACCCTTTTAATAAACATGGTGAAAAATCTAACCTAAATCTGATTTTTTTTTTTGGTCAAGTTCGTATCAGATTGACTGATCAGGCTATTTTTGACACCCCTATTCACACTTGCAGCGTATAATTGTACATATGAGGGTAGTTTACTTAGTTTTTGAAGATATAATTTAAGTGCCAAAAAGCATTTTATATATATGAGATTGAATATCATAAAGACCTTACAACCATTACTAAAGTATTGAGAACTAAGGGCATCGATCATTATTTTTATTTTATGTAGTCTTACAATTATATATATGACAACTCTTCTCAAAATTATTCTTATTGAAAAAAAAGCCTCATGCAATACTAATTATTTAATTTATAAAAATAAAAAATTGAGGACTAATTTCCTAAAATTAAAAAATAAATTATCCACCATAAATGGGCTAACCTACACAACATAGTGTGCATAGTTTTCAAGAACGACTAACAACAAGCATTCAATTGGACCTGAACTTGTCTAGGCCCATAAGAATGCTTTGGGTTAGCCCATTAGGCCCATTTGATAATGATGTGTTAAAGTTTAAATAAATATAATTATTTAGGTTTTCTGTGCATTTAAATTAGTAACATTATCAAGATAGGAAATTTTTTTTCCCATAAGTCATTAGAAGAAAGGGGGATCTACGTAAATATGGCTGATTTTTTATATATTGCTATGCATACTAATTAAATTTTATATTTATTGATATAATATAATAATTTGTAAATAATATTAAAACTTATTGATGCAATTAAAGTGTATTTCACTTCATATGCTAATAGTATTATAATTTTGATTTATTTACATATTAGAGTGTTATTTAAGCAAAAAGAAAATTTAAATGTTAGTTATGTAAATATATTAGAATTCAAAGATATGCATCCTTATATAACAATACTTTTTATTTATTTATTTATTGCATTATTTTTTATTTGTATGTACTATTAAAAATAAGAGGAAATTACATATGATGTATTTGTGTATACAATCTAAATTTTTATATTTTTTTATGTTGTGTCTTGGAACATTCGCAACAGTAGAGAGATATAGAGTATAGCGTCCAAGCTTTGTACAAATATTCATCACACAAACGTATAAGAGAGAAAGATTCAAGAGTCATAAGAGATATTAAAAAATTTACGTTGAAAACCCTACAATAATGCTTTTTAATATTTGAGCTTCTCTATTTGTTATCATAAAATCACCTCAATTGGCTTCCTAATAATGTTTTAATTAAAATATATGTTAAGCTAATTACCTATTTAATTGATTAAAGATTAAATAGGCTGATTTATTAGAATAAATGAGGCTAAGTATTCATTAGTTATAGGTTAGTAAAAAATTATTTCCAACTATTCTTTACTAATAAACAATTAAATCTTAAATCACTTTTATATAAAATGTATGACAATAATTATTTTGGTACTTTAACCAACACATATTAGCAAAGTGTTTCAACCAGTTAATAGTATGATTTTGATAAGGACAACTCTCAATAATAGTTTTACTTTGGTGCACATATATACTTTTTGTATTCACTAATTCTCATGTCATTTTTCTATCATCTACAATAAGGAAAACATAATTAGTTTTCCTATGATTAACATACTCTTACAAACACAAAGCCTAAATTATATTAATTATTTCCAAGATCAATGCTATATTGAATATAACATTAGCCATTGAATACTATCTTATTAGCATTATTGTTAAAGAGATACTTAACATATAATCATCCTTCTAATCATGAATCATTATAGTCATCAATCATAATTTCTCAACTTATATTTTATGAGGTTGAGAATGATGTTGAAAAAAAATTATTTTTGAGGCAAGTAGGAACCCATTGCACATTGAGAAATACTCATGATTGATCATGGACATTAGAAAATAGATAAAAGAAAGTATAAAAGAGTGCTTCCACAATTAGATGTGGTTTTCTAGGAAATAGGGCAATGTTGTTCATTGAGATGGAAAAAGGTGGTTGAGAAGTATCATTTGTGATGAGGAAAAATAATGATTTTAATAACTTTCTAGCTCTAACTTTCTTTCAAAATAGACACAAAGACATTCCCATATGTGATGACGAGTTAATGCAAAGAATGTGAAAAGTTGGTTTAATGTTCTTGAAGAATAATTTTTCATTTATAAATATAAAAATGCATAATAATTTAGTTTTTCTTAAAAATACCCTTACATGTTGTTATGTCATATGTGGTAGAGTGTTGAATCCCAAAATCATGAGATATATATCAATATTAGCATTATATATCTAATTTCAAGGTTTTACTTTAATCTTAATTATATTTTATCGGACATGAATGGAAGAAGTGGATTTCATGATAGAAATTGATACAAAAATATATATTATAACCTATGTAAAAATTTGCCTAAGAGTTTTTTTTTTTTTTTTTTTTTTGTGACAGGCAATCACATTAGGCATCTCCATAAAAAAAATTTTAAATATTTATGTAGCTCACAGTAGATTACATGAAGGACTCCAATACAAGTTCAATGTAGAATATGTTGAAAGTAATATCAAAATAAATGACCATAAAGGATAAGAACTAAGCTAGACCAAAACACCTTTCAAAGTAGTAAGCCAAATACTAAGATTATCTCATATCATAAATATTAGAAATTCTACCACAATAAGAGGGCAAAGCAAGAGGAGAGAAAGAAATCTTTCACCATCATGCTTAGAGAAGTGGCAAAATCACCAAAAATATAATGAGAAGTGAACTCATAGCTTTGTCAAATTTGAGATATGTGGGTAGTATGATACATTATGTATTAAAAAAGGTTTATTGTCAAAATTATATGCTTATAAACAATAAACAAATAAATCTAATTTGAATATACCATATGTAATTAAAAAGCCATAAAGCCTTAAATCAATAAATATATAATAAAACTTATACAAATTGGAGCACAAGTGTCATAAGCTATTGCAAATATATTCCAAAAGATTTAATCTAACTATATTATTTTCTTAAAATCAAAGATAGGTTAATTTAAGCATATTAATTATGTTCGTAGGTCTAATAATAAAATACGCACTTTCAAATTATTTAAAATATTAATTAACTATCAAAATAAAATATGATACATATCAATAAGATAATCAAACGATTGTCTACAAAGATAATTAAGATTTTTAAATATACTTTATACTAGTTCTATAATAAAAACAAGCTTGATAAATATGGTTTAGCGCTAGCTTAGTCTTCAAGTTCTTAGAAATAAAAAGTTATTCTTTGAAACTCAATTTGTTCAGCAATGGTAACTTAAGGTTTTGTTTGAGACGGATTTCTTATTGCTTCATGAAGCAGCTTTTTAGTACGAAAATTAAAACATTTGTACTAGAAAGTTTCTTTAAGTAGTAAAAAAGTCATCCCAAATGAAGTCTTAGTCACCTAAACATAGTGAACACACTTAAGAATCCACCCCCCCCACCCAATGGGGTTACGTCCATGCTCATCTATAACCATATTGCAATATGATCCATTCTTTGGAGGATGGATAAATGATTTGACTCGACAACTTGATCTGAACTTGGCCTAAAAAATTCAAATTTGAGTTAACCTACTTAATTTTCAACCAGGTTTAGGTTGACATGAAAACCTAAATTTGTCTGGATTGTCATTCAAGTTCGGATTAAATGAATCATATTGATTTAAAAAGTTATATGATTTATATGATAAATAGATCAAATGGCATATTCGTTGTGTTGATGTCGAATGTTTTGAACCGGATAAATATTTAGCGTTACAGTCAAACTTATTCAAATCGAGTTAATTTTGAATCAAATTCAAATTCAATCTACCAATCTAAATTAACACTCTAATTATTGTTAGAGTGGAGTCTAAAAGAATAAATCTAAAACAATCTAATTTTCATCTGGGACCACTTTTAATAACTTTTTTTTCACTACTTTTATGAAAAAATTATTCTAAAAAATTACCATAAAAAATATAGTCAAACTATCCCAAATGAGATAATTTTTTTGTGCGAACACATATGAGCTGGAGACCAACCAAAACGTATCATATCATTCAATATGGAGCGAGCAAAAAATAATATGACACATAACCACACAAAATAATTTTTCCCAAACGAGGCACCTAGTTTAAGACACCCACTTACTATAGAACACCTGCAGCCCTTAAATTGGCTTTCTTCCCAATTTTATCACGACCGATAGAGTTGATTGGAGACAAGAAGGGTGCAGCTATGTATCGCCAAGGATCTCGCTTGCTGATGCGAGCAACTGCCGCCGACGGAGCCCGCTTACGGGTGACCGCCGGAAGCCGACCTGCTTCTCAGGCCTTCTCCACCGAAGTTACGGAGGCGCCGGCGGTAGATTCGTCATTTCTTGAGGCATGGAAGAAGGCTGCTCCCAACATCGACCCCCCGAAGACTCCGCTTGCATTTATGAAGCCGCGGCCTCCAACTCCTTCGTCAATCCCCTCCAAGCTCACCCTCAACTTTGTCCTCCCTTATCAATCCGAGATCTCCAACAAAGAGGTTTACCCTACCCCGCTCTTTGCTGCTTGATTTTGATAAAACTTTGATTTGGGTAATTAGGGTTTTGCTTTCATAATTGGGAACGGTAGTTTATTATTCTTTATGTTGGATTTTAAAACACGTATCATTTGCTCTTGATTGTGGGATTTTAATGGTACCTCAGACTATTTTGGTAATTGATTGTGTTTTGGGCTCTGGATGCATAAGCATTGGCTAGTTTCCTGATGTGAAAGCTTGGTATGTGGATATGGATGCTTGCTTAAATCACATCGTTTGATTGAATAAGTTATATTTAGCTGAAGTATTTTGCTAAACATGAGGATAGTGCTCTTCCATGCCTATATTGACCTTGCAAAGTCCAACATAATGTAATGATAGTACGTACTATCAAGAAAGCTTCTATATTTCAGAAAGAAGATAGAGTAAGCACATGCATCTCCTAATTTGATGTGCCAAATATGCATTAAATGTGTTCATAAAAAAATATGTGAGATGTATCTGCGAAGGTTGCTTCCGGGTCAAATGGCCGAAACATTACTGAGTCTCTTACATGATTGGATGCATTCCTTTCATGAGCTTGTTTCGTTCATTCCCAATTGCTGCTTTGATATTGCAACAACAGTGTTAACCATTCAAATTTCACTATTTTTAAAATCTGTGTAAGTTGCCTATCCGTATAGCCAATTTCTGGGTTTATACATAAATATTGGGAAATATTTTTGTATGTTCTATAAAAGAATAGCTTACTTTTTTTTCTACAATGAGTTTGGTTTATTATTATGATCATAGAGCCTATATTTTTGAACAAATGAAATCAAAGGTGACTATTAATTCCATCGAATTTCTTTTACGCACAAGTTGCTTTCTTAGTTAGAAAAATGAAAGTGTTAATTATATGAATAAGGGTTGTTAGAATCTCTAACTTAAGTCCACCTTTATACTTGATAAAGTTTGATTCCCAAGGTCTCATGTACATGCTACTTCATTTAGGTCAACACGAAGATCCAACACCATTGCATTGCTCTGTATGTTTGAATCTTAGTGATAATAGCTCTAATTTTAACTAAAAATTAAATGATTTAACCTAGGATCTACTAGGTTAATAGGATTGATTGTTGATTAGTGTCTTCAGTGATTGAATTTTAAATATGATTAGTGCTTATGTTCCTCAAATTAGTTAGGTATATAGTTTGAAAAATCAATTTAGGAAGAATCATTTGAAGTATTATAAATTTTAAGAGAAAGAGGGAAAAAACTATTTGGAACGACTTAAATGGACACACCGGTTCTAGCAGGATGAATTTTGAGAGGATTCATGGTAGGTGTAGAATAATAGATAGAAATTTAATGGGATAAGCTATACTTCATACTTTAAGAAATGAGAACACTTAGTTACTATCAAAAGTAATTTATTTGGAAAAAAAGTTTTTTTCTTAAGATAAGGAGATTTGAGTAGAATTTTTTATAGTATAACATAGGCTAGTAGTTATGGATGTATATCTCAAGAGTTTAAAAAAACAACAAAAGAAATAAATTCCCTATGATAAGATGGTAAAATTTAAAAGTTGAGAGGTTGTTAATAATTGGTGTTTTTTTTAATGACTGAAGGAGTGAGGTTACAAGCCATTTTCCTTGATTTTCAACCGCATCTATGACATTGTAGCGTTATCCAGAGTTTAACAAATTGTGGGAATTAGAAATTTTACGCATCAGTAACTTGTTCTAGTTGTATCGATATGCCATTTTTATGCATGCATGACTATCTTATTATTGTAATTAGCTAGTGTTAGCTGTTAAAATAGTATTCTTTGAATCTGTATATTCTTGACAAAGTCCTAGATATTTCACTCTCATTGTGAAGGTTTTGGTGCATAGCTTCACTTTATTTTTATTTATCAAAATTTAAAAATAAAATTTTATTCAAGAAATACTATTTTGATAAAATTCAACATTTAAAACATTTGAAATTTGCAAAATAAATTTTTAGACTACAGTATGCTGACATTATGCCCCAATAATGTAAAGTAAGTGTTACAAAATGCTTATATGATTTCACTCTCATTGTGAAGGTTTTGGTGCATAGCTTCACTTTATTTTTATTTATCAAAATTTAAAAATAAAAATTTTATTCAAGAAATATTATTTTGATAAATTTCAGCATTTAAAACATTTGACTACAGTATGCTGACATTATGCCCCAATAATGTAAAGTGTTATAAAATGCTTATATGCCTTGGGATCAACACGATAGTAATTCTATCTTTTTTAGTTGTGGTAGTGTTTTTAAATATTATTATTTTTTGTGAATTACAAATTATAAATTTCAAGGTATCAACTTAGGTTTAATTTAAGCTTATCATACTTGTTATGATCTTAAGATGAAAATGATGAATTTTTTGACTTATCAGTCAGTGTTATAAAACATATGCTTTATATTTTGTATCAAAACTTTTTAATTATAACTTCATCATATATAATGTTAATATTTTAATTGTTGATTATTTATTTAGAATAATTATATTTAATGAAACTTTTGAATAATAGAAAATTGACAGTGCTTAACTTTAGATTATCTTGAACAGAGATTTATTCCAATGATTTACTTAAAATATTTTTTTATTAATGTTTAGGTTAAATAAATGACTTACCCTCTTATATTATACTTTCCCGCTAGCCTCATGATGATAATGTATGAGTGCTATGATAGGAAATACTTGGTTCTAGACCGGTTCCAAGTGAACCGGTGTAACTGACTAAAGGTTAAGTACCATAAAAAGATGTGATTTCACCTGAAAATTAATAATAATAAAAATGTCTAGTTTCTTTTTGTAGATGACGGAAAATGATCCAAAAATGCTACACTAATAGGTTTTGGTTTAAGTAATGAATATATTAATAGGTTTTGGTTTAAGTAATGAATATTAAGTGATGTAGAGGAGTAGAAACATGTCTATGACAACATGAATAATGTTAATGGAAGGGATATTACTATTCAAAGGAGAACTATAACATAAAGGAGATACAAATAGTCAAATATTATTTGGATGGTAGACTCACAAAGGTCTTCATTAAGGAGGAAACTATCAAGTTTCAACTTACATAGCCACCAAGCAATATTGAATCAACCCAACTCAATTTTTTGACACAATTTATTACTTATTTATAAGTATTCAAATACACATTTTTACATAATTTCATAGAGGGAAAAGGAGGGCCTAATGTCTTCATGATTTGATTGTATAATTGATTGTTGTCTTTCTTAATTGGAGAGATATTTGATCGAAAAGCTTCAAAAGCTTCCTTCCTTTCTTATGATGTCATAAAGGAAAGGCGAGATTGGAGGTTAAAATTTTCATATGCTTTTACTTCACTTTCGTCCATGCCAATAAGGTTAGAGAGTGGTTCCATATTAATGCCTTCATGAATATAGAGATCTTTCTTGATTGCTCCATATTTGATGAAGAAGACAAATACATAATGAAATATTTTCTCTTTTCTTGATGACAAAGATTAGAACATTTCTTCCCATGTTTGGAGGATGGCAATTCTTTCTATTTTTGGACAATAATGATGATGTCATACAATTTCAGCATGTTGTTGGTGATAAAAATAAAATTTCTAAATTAGTTGACATTCCATGAAATGGCAAGTTTCAATTCTTGTGCTTCTTCATTTCTACCACTCTTCAAGAACTCTCCTTTGAAGAGCTAAAAATATTTGTGGTAGGTTGAAAATATGATTGCTTAAACGACAGTAGAAAGGGAAAATTAAAGTGAAAACAAAGTATAAAATTAAGGATTTCATTATTGGAAATGCAAAGTAACATACAATAGTGAAAATAAGAAAATGAAACAAATATTAATGTAATTAAGATAATTACTCTTGAACTCTACACAAGAAATCGAGTCAATAATCCCATGCAATATTTTAAGAGTTGAGATCGCAGCAAGAATTCAAACTAGTTAGCCATCAAGTGTTAAACTTCTAAAAAGATTGAAGGGTTGTGAAGGGCCAGCGGCAACTCTAAAATATCTCCAGAAAGAAAAACTCATTTTTCAATCAGTATTCCAAAAAGGTTTAAGATTCCACCAAGGATTCAACACAAGATGGTCATCAAGTCTTTAGCTCCTTTTGATGATAATGAAAATTTTGAATTTTGTGAGGAGCGAAAATCATGAGGAATTTGGTGAAAAAAAACTTAGAGCAAAAATATAATTATACAAGGTTGAAAATCTTACCAAAGTATTTCAACAAAAAATAAAGATTGCCAAACCATACATTGCAAGCACTAATTGTTAGCTATGATTCCACATGACGTAGAAGAGTGGACCATACCTAATGGCGAGTGAAGGGATCGTATCATTCAAAGAAGAATAGTAACATAAAGGAAACACAAAGTTTGTTAAGATGGAAGACTCATCGAAGTCTCTATAAATGAGGAAGCTATCAAACTTCATTTTATGTTGTCATAAAACAACATTAATACATTGAATCAACTAAACATGATTTTATAATACAACTCATTATTTATTTCTAAGCGTTTTAATACTTATTACTACATAATTTCAAAAGGATAGGTTGAAATATTCATGATTTAATTGTATAATTGATAGCTGCATTGCTTAATTGAAGAGATGCTTGACAGTTAAGCATCAAAAGCTTCCTTACATATGATGCTATAAAGGAAGAATATGAGTGCTATGGCTGAATTTTGCATGAGTTCTTGCTTCATCTTCATCCAAGCCAAGTAGATAAGGTACTGGTTCCATGTTAATGCCTTCACGATGTTAGAAAACTTTTTTATTGCTTTATATTTGATGAAGATGATAAATAACGAAAACTTTTTCTTCTTTTTTTGGATGAAAATAATAAAATTATTTCTTTTTACATTTGGTGGATGGTGATGGAAACTTGCTTCTTTTCATCTTTGGATAATAATGAATTTGATGGTGATTATGATAACAATAAAATTTCCAAATTACGAGACTTTCTCTAAAAGGGCATATTTCCAAATTTGAATGATTATAGTCATTCTTGTTCTTCATCATTAAGTCTTCATTCTATCTTTTGTTAGAATAGAGAGAGAATTATAAAGGTCTACGCTTTTTCTGAATTATCTTTTTTTTTTAGGTATAATCATATATGTGCTTATATGTTGGTAATATAAAAATTAATGCAAATGAATATCTTTAATAATGAGGAAATTCAATGATAGTATTAATAAATAATGCATTTTCCTATCACAAATAGTTAACACATGTGATAAATTAGAGATGATAATACTCCGCAAACTCATTGTGGAGAGAGGATTATAAAGGTCTATGCCTTTTCTGAATTTTTTTTTTTGGGTATAATCATATATGTGCTTATATGTTGGTAATATAAAAAATAATGAAAATGAATATCTTTAATAATGAGGAAATTCAATGATAGTATTAATAAATAATGCATTTCCCTGTCACAAATAGTTAACACATGTGATAAATTAGAGATAATACTCCTCCGCAAACTCATTGTGACATAGAAGATGCCAACTTAAGTTTGGGAGTAGTAGTGATCACAAACAAGTAATCAAAGGTTTGTTTACCAAAAGGTTATGAGTATCTTAAGTGGAACATGACCGATCTGTGGAAGAGAGAGTTGTGATAATTGAACGTAAAGGGTGAACAACAAGATATATGTCTGAGAAAGCGTGAATAAGATCCTTAAATAAATAAATTTAAATTTAATTAGCCTGAGTTACATTGAAATTTAATTAATATTAAGGTCTCTATTTGCAAATTACACTCTTTTTTTATTGTGGTCTGTTTGGTTTAATTTTGTGGATACTTTATTGAATCTAACTATTGTTTTTAAGTTTTTCATTATATTTCTACAATTTTTTAAATTATTAATTTTAGATTTACTCTTCCCTGGTTATTTAAGTTTCAATTTAATTTCCTTTTGAAAATCTACACTTATCCCTCTTCATCCATTATTATAGTGAACCCATAGTTTATCTTACATAAATTGTCTCATTGCCATAGTTGAAGATCATTAGTTGTGTTGAAGTTAAGCCAAATTCTTAACTAAAGTTAAAATCCATTCATTTCACAAGCAGGTTGAATCATGACCCTATATTTAGCTTCAACAATATACCTAGCTACGACAATATGTTTCTTTAGGACATTGGTTTTCCACTAAAAAGATCTGTTAAGTAGACTATTGATCCTCAGTAAATCGAACATATTTAGCATTAGCATAAGCTTCAATCCTCACATGATTATTTTTATGATAGATTAGATTTTTTCTTGAAGATTTTTTTGTGTCTTAAAATTCTTAGGACAATATCTCAACATTTTTTTTTTTTGTATATTGACCAACACAAATGATATTCCAAGTCGAGTTATGATTTGATGAATAAGTTTTGCCAACTAGATGCTAATGTGTGAAGCATCTTCAAAGCTTTCATCATTCTTAAATGATTGCATTTTATCTATGAAGGAGTCAGTAAGCTTGCTCCCATGAAGATCAACTTCTTCAAGAAGCTCAATAGCATATGTTCTTTGAGTGTGAGAAACATCTTTCTTGTTATATGCGAACTTCATTTCAAGGATGTATTTTTGTTAAATTCCCAGTCGGCCCTTTGCCCTTGATCCTACGGCCAGCATGGAGATCCGTGGGTGACTTACCTGGATCATACTGTTAAATCTCAGCCATCTCTTGGCCCTTGATCTCACGGCTAGCATGGGGATCCATGGGAGGCTCACCTGGATCACGCCGATATCCGTCAATATTCGGGTGGCTGATTTAGGAAGGATTATATTAAGGCAATTATGCATGATTTTATAGTTATTTATTTCTTTATTAAGACATCTTGTATAGATCTACAAATAGAGATATTTTTGTTGAAGTCCTAGTCGGCCCTTTGCCCTTGATCTCACGGCCAGCATGGAGATTTGTGGGTGGCTTACCTGGCTCATGTTGTTAAATCTCAGCCATCCCTTGACCCTTGATCTCACGGCTAGCATGGGGATTCATGGGAGGCTCATTTGGATCACGCTAATATCCTTCAATATTCGGGTGGCTGATTTAGGAATGATTATATTAAGGCAATTATGCATGATTCTATAGTTATTTATTTCTTTATTAAGACATCTTGTATAGATCTACAAATAGGGATAGTTTTGTATAATAAATGAAGCTTTTTTCCTCTCCAGTTCTCTGAATTTAATATGGTATCAAAGTCATATTCACACCACCAGCCTTCATTGCCGGAATTCTGAGGAATACTGGTCTTTCCATCGGCCTTTATTGTCATTGGAGATCTAACAAGAGCCAAGCAGTCCAAATCGCTCGTGCCCTTTGTTTCATGCCTGCGGCAAGAATAAGCGGAGACGGGAGTCTCTCGTGCATCAAAAAAATGAGAAGAGATTGAGTAGGAGAGTTCCTCTTGCGTGCGTTTGGAGCGGAACCGAGCGAAATGCTCCTCTCAGGCACGCGCATAAGCTAGTAGGATGAGGGTTGATCGATGGCTGCAAGTACATATGTTGCTTGTGTGGATCACAAAGATGGCAACAATTGTCCAACAACATAATAGGGCACATGAGCGAGGTTCGGTCATAATTAGGAGAGGGGACAAGGGTTTCCTACCCTAATACTATGTTGAGAGGAAACAACTTTTTATTATATCTAATTGACTCAATATAAGGGCTTTTATATGGGAAAATACGACCAGAAAATGAAGATGATGAGGGCAACATCTAATGCCATTGGAGAAAATGAACTCAAGTGTTTTGGGCAAATCCAACGAAGGGTAGATGGTGCGGCAAGGAGACGGGTTGATAGAAGTAATGTTGTAGGATTAGGAAGAAAAAAAGGTAGACTAAAGATTTTAATAGTTTGTGCTATAATATTTATGCAAAATAGGTTCAAAAACTCTGGCAATATTGAACATGAAATATTGGAGATTGTGAATTCATAAATTCAACCCAAATAATCAGATGAATTTTATTGATCATGATGATAATACTGATTTGTATGAACATTTTTTCTTGCTGAACTATATATAACACGTATGAAAAGCATCACTATGTTTACTTAATGGTGTTCTGGGGTGCGTGATTACAAATAAGCTTTTTCCTGTTAAACGAGCGATGCGTCCATGCATGTGTTTCCGTCACATGAGCAAATATGCACGAGAATCAAAGCATCAAATCAAACTGTAGAGCAGAGTTAGATTTCTGCTGTTATCCGTGGGCTAGGCTTGTTAAACCGGCCTCAACTAAATTACTGTATTCATTCTTGTTATGAAAACTTGTATAACCTTCATGTAAACTTTAAAGCATTGGAGCTTAACCCTGAATGTGCTTGGCAATCAATGATGTGCTCTCATCTGAAAGAATATTATGCAAAATTAAGGCTTTGTTTGGGACGGTTTTCTTGCTGCATCTTGAAGCATTTTTTTTTAGTACAAAAATTAAAAGGACCAGCAAAGTCCAAAATGCCTTTACCGTTTGCATCTCTGATAATCCCACCACAACCCAACCTAGAATTAACATTAACCGCATCCATGTTAAGCTTAAGGAAATTAGCCGGAGGTTTCATCCAAAAGATACTTTTAGGGCCATTTGAGGAAGCCACCCCCCTTCCAACTTAATACCTAATTCAGCTGTAGTATTAACTGAGTTTTTAAAATTCTTACCCAAAAGTAACTTTGCAGAACAAAGGGTCACGATCTTATCTTTAAATTTATGAATAATGATAAGTGCAATAGTTTGGCTTATTAGTCTTATCAACTTCTGTTGGTCTTTTAAATTTGGGGAGTTGAAAATTATCATCTTGAACTAAGAATTTGAAAATCTTCCTTGTAGCATCTCTCCTAAAATAGTATTGTTGGTTGATCTTTTCTGTCAATCCTCTAGAATCAGGCTTAGGGTTTAACCTTCATGTAAACTTTAAAGCATTGGAGCTTAACCCTGAATGTGCTTGGCAATCAATGATGAGCTCTCATCTGAAAGAATATTGTGCAAAATTAAGGCTTTGTTTGAGACGGTTTTCTTGCTGTTTTTTGAAGCAGTTTTTTTAGTACAAAAATTAAAAATTTTGTATTAAAAAGCCGTTTTAAGAAGTAGTAAGAAAGTCATCTCAAACGAAGCCTAAAATTGTGTATGCATGCTCTCTGCTTCATAAGCCTATATAATATTTTTAATAAGAATATTTGGACGTGCCTTTTTTATTTTTACTTTAATGAAGCTTAAAACAAGAATGAAAGGAAACAAGGGATGCAAGCTTGTGCAAAAGAAAAATGTACAAGAAAACAGAGTTTCAATCATGATTTACTTCAGTTAAAGTTTGAAATGCATGAACTATGCTTTTCTTTTTTAGGGCTGTTCAAGCGCCATACAAACCCTACTTTTGTTTTTGTCTTCTCTTTATCTTTTTCTTTGTTGAATTAACTCTCTGAAAGAAGTTTTTCATGACCATAGACTGACTACGTTAATATGTTCATTTTCATTTGTTCACCCCTCCTGTTAATTATCAAGGTTGATATGGCGATTATACCTGCAACAACCGGTCAAATGGGTGTCTTGCCTGGTCATGTGGCAACCATAGCAGAACTTAAGCCTGGCGTTCTATCAGTGCACGAAGGAAACGAAGTCACCAAGTATTTTGTTAGCAGCGGCTTTGCATTTATCCATGCAAACTCTTATGCAGATATCGTTGCTGTGGAGGCTGTTTCTCTTGATAGAATTGACCCGAGCCTGGTTCAAAAAGGACTTGCTGATTTCACTCAGAAGCTTAACTCTGCTGTCACTGACCTGGAGAAGGCAGAAGCGCAGGTGGGGGTGGAAGTACACAGTGCACTTAATGCTGCACTTACTGGCTGATAGAAGACTTTCTTTCTCCTTCGAAGTACTTGGAATAATTTGTTGTTAAAATTGAAATGTTTATTTTCTGTTATTGGTTACAGATTTGCTCTGTGTTTGTGTAGCATTAGCAAGTTTATTTCCTGGTTAATTTTGCAAGCCAAAATGAACTGCTGAAATAACGGCTATTAACTCTGAGCATTCTGAATGCTTCAGCTTTTCAGTTTTACAGTTTTATAATCGATCTCTGTTTTGCTGAGAACTACTTGAGAGCAGACCGGTTTAATGCTTGAAGGAAGGTGGGTCTGAGAGATGCAAATTATTGTTTTATTTTCTTGTAGAGAGTTTATCTGATGATATTTCTGCTCCAATTAAGCTTTACTATCTTCTGCAATATATAAATAAACTGCAATAGCTCTGGTTTTTATGGCAGAAGCAGAAAATGTCATACTACATTTCTGTCTTTCAAATAACTACGAAGAGTTCAAAATCAGCAGTTTTTTTTTTCTTTCGTTATTTGTTAGAAGTGTTCTTAGTTATTCCAACATCCCTACAAAAGGAGCAATTATTACGTCCGGTCACCAAATGCGTTCAGAGATCAATAATCATGCGCCACGTCACCTAAAACTCGGTATTGCTCGGTATATATTCGGATACGTCATCGGACGTAATAATTGCTCCTACAAAAGAGGCCCTGCACTTATATAGTTGATTACATAAATTATTTTTCTCCACTATATCCTTATTAGAGTTAAGAATAAAAAAATCATTTATATTACTTTATAACCTAGTGTTTTTAAGTCTATCTATCAGATCATTGGAAGTCCGACGTTTTATGTGATCAAATCATTTAAGATGAGATATTTATTTCATATTTTGTCTTTAAAAGTAAAGTCACACCTTCATTTGAGCATTTTCTTATATGCAACACTTAATTTAACGCTTCTCTTTTAACGTGCAACATTCTGTATAATAAAGCATTATATGTTTCATCATCATCTTATAGAATTTTAACTTTTATGTGAGACAAAGCAGTCCTCTAATTCAACCATCTAACTTAAATTCTACTAATAATATCCTCATAAATTTCACCATATAATAATAATTTTAGCAGTGCCACAAAAATATAGAATGACTGTCACACATTAAACATTATACTACCAGATGTCCCTTTAAAAATAAAAATTTAGTCAGTTTTAATGATACCTTTTATATAAAATATTTAAATTTTCATAGCACGCCAATGCAAAGAGGCAGTTTATTATAGCACGCTTCAACTTTTTTTATAGTTGTTGCGCGTAGGCAAAGGGCAAAGCAAACCAAAAAGCGAGGGAGAACACGGGAAGCTTTCTCGTATCAGAGCCAGGTTTCGATCCTGGGACCTGTGGGTTATGGGCCCACCACGCTTCCGCTGCGCCACTCTGATTTTTGTACTGGTTTCTAATTTTTTATATTCATATATTAGATTTATTAAATTATAATGGTTCTTCTTCAATTATTTTGCTACTTTGCTTGCTTGATTGCTTGCGTGTATGGTGCAAAAGTGTAACCAATGCTGATAGAATTCCAACATCCACAGAACTCATTCTACTTATTTAACTTTATCTAAAATTTTTGTAATAAATAGTACATATACATAAATGCATGATTCGATGAAGATCGAAGGGCTATGATTCACATGAATTTTGAATCAAGAACACTTTAATAGATACTTGATTGATAGATGAACTAGCTTGAATAATTTGATGTTTGATTTATTTATGATTAACAATAATATCTTTCAAATTATGTGAATAAGGCATATTAAATATTGATAATTTACTCATTTAAATATATATATATATATATATATGATTCTTTTTTGTAATTGATTGCTTTTGTTCATGAACACAAGCTACTTATTTGTTTTCGTTCAAATAATTGCTTGTTTAGCAGTCTTTCAGTTAAAACTTAATAGTATGTTCATTAAAGAGCTCGATAAGGTCTATTCAGTTAACTATATAGCTTATTCAATATTGATGTTTGTTGATAAGCTTGATAAGATTCATTTAGTTAGCTGACAAGCCGAGGTCAAACTAAGCTTAAAAAATAATAGTTTTAAACTAATCAATTTTAAACATCCTTAAAAATGTCAAATAGGGACAAAAAATTTTATTTGCATTTTAATAAAAAGGAAATGCATACCTAATATATAAAATGACTAAAATAACTAATAATTTTTCTTTCAAGATAAGTAAAATAGAGCATGTTATCAAAATCTAGATAGTAAAAAATTGAGCATTTTTTTTTAATTTAAAAAAGTTTTATTAGCCTTAAATTTTTTAATAAAATGTGCTTAAAGTTTTTTATCATTGATATTTCATCAATATCAAAAAAAAAAAAAACTCCTAGTATTAGGTCATGGTGCTGCAGAAAAGGAGAGTGAAAGTATTTAACCATTAATGAGCCTATTATTATTCTCTAATTATTTGATGATTATTAAAATCTTGCTCATAAAATTATGATTAAGTTTTTATTCATACTCAAAACATCATTTTCGAATTATAAGCCATTTTTATCAAGTAGTAAGATTAATTTGTTTTATAATCATAATAATTAAGATAATAAATATACTATAATTCAAAATAATTATAATTACATTTTGAATAAAAGTTATTCATATCAAGTAAATTTTTTTTTGGAAATAATATATATGTATTAAAACATTTTTTTTTAATTTAACATCATATTGTACTAAAAAAATTAAGAAATTAAAAATTAGTGTCCATTTCAATAAACTTTTATAACTATGCAATAAATAATCTCACATTTACCTCAAAATTAATTCGAATTTATTAAAAGGAGAATTAATAATGATTAAAGCAAATTTGAATGATGAAATTGAAAAATAGAATTTTAAAAATGATGAAAATATTATTAATTTCTTTTTTGTTGACTTATTTTCCTATGTAGTCATGTAGATTTGGATTAGGTTTGTTGTAATTGTAAGTTTCTTTTCTCTCTCCCTCCAACCTACTTGTTTGTAATTATATGTTTTTGTTTCAACCTCTTTGGACTTTTTTTTGGCTTCATTTATTAAGCAACATGGTGGGTGCTCTAACAAATAATTTTTTTTTAGAAGATTTCCTTTGATGAAGGCTTGGGCCTTTATTCCAGGAAGATAAGTGATTTTTAGGAAAAATAAATTAAAAAATATTTAAAATATTTTGATCAAAATTTTATTTGAAAATATTTAAATTTTCATAAGAGTTAATCATATGACTCATCATCAGTCTGGTTTATATTATATTCTTCTAATAACAAATTCAATAATCTTGAGATTATTTTGACTAAATTTTGAATAGAATATTATAATCTTTTTTTTAAGATCATTTACTAAATTGATATTTAATCAAAGGCATGAATTATGATGTATTGTGCTTCATAAGGATAGAAAGAATTTTTTTTTCTTCTCTTCAATTATTGGTATTAATTACTTGATCGAAAACAAATCAAATTATCTTTTTTGTCATAATTAAATGTAATGAATAATGATTTCAAAGAATCTATCCACTTTTTCTTTTTGTATGTTGTTGTTAGGTATGGTAGGCAGTACATTGAATTTATGCTAATGACTTGCTATATTTGTAAATCTTACAATTAATTACCCTAATTTGGATGTTAATATTAAAAAGTAAATTTTTTTTTAGGTTTGCTTGTGATTATGGATAAGAATTGGATGGCTTATTCAAGAGTTAATCATATCATCGTTATGTAAGAGTTGGTGAAAATTTTGAGCTTGCAATATTACATATATTTGCATTTATTGATACAAAAATGATGAAAGAGTTGAGTTAATTATTTCATAATAGGTGATGGTTTTATTGGAGGATAGGCACAATGGATTTGTCTCGAAGATGAATAGAATTTACTTTAATGCACATTTATATTTTACGAGATTTTTCAACCTCAATTTGCTATAAGAAGTTTCGATGATTAAGAAGACATGTTGATTCATGTATTGGGAGTTAACTATTATGAAGAAGTCAATATGGCCACTATTATCGAAGGAGGACAAGTTCAAATTTATATGACGAATACTTTAAGTGAGCATTCTAGTTAGTTCTCTTAGTTAGCCATCCTTCAAGTACCTTGTGGCAGGTAACTAGCTAACTATTATGGACTAACATAAGGTTAGCCGACAAGACCAAGGTTCCAAGCTTTTGAACCCTCATCTATTTCATCATAAGAGAAGATGATCTTCTTATCATGACAAGGAACATAGTTGAGAGAGAAGTTAGCAGAGCTAGGTACTTGGGAACTCAAGGTAGGTTCTCAGAAGCCATAGAAAAGCCAGGGAAAAGAACGAGCAAGAACACAACAATCTTGCCGACAAGAGTTGCAGGAGAAAATATAAGAATAAGTGTGCAAGAGAAACAGATATTGGAGGTCCTAATATCCCACTAATCTTTTATATAGCTCTATCGAGCTGTATTTGCATAATTTAATATTATTGTCATGTTATTATCAATATTGGGTAATAAAGAAAAATATTGATTTAATTATTTAATACTAAAATATTATACTCATCATAGGGGCGGAACTCCTTATTGGTCGCGGCAGGAATTAAAATACCTTTTATATGAAGGGACGTTATTATATGATTATTTAGGTAATTTGTCCCCCTCGATCTATTTTTTAGTATTTATTACAAGGGTTCTTAAGCAATTACTTATAGATATAAATGGAAATAAAATCAATCAAAAATTTTTTTATGATTTCTTATGTCAAATTAAAAAGGGATTTTTACATACATACCACTTTATAACATGTGTATTACATATTTAACACTTAATTCTTAAATATTACATTAATACCACCTAAATATTCTCATAACAAAAATACCACTCCGTCGAATGCTTCGCTCATTCCATCCAATTTCGTTATGAAAGCCCTAGCCAGTGTAAAACCTTAGCCAGTGTAAAACCTCCTCTCTTCACATCTTCGTGTCCTGCAACCCTTTCATCTTCCTCCCCGCGAGTTGTCGAATTTCAAAATTGTTTGCTTATCCAACTTCGGTAAAATTTGCTCCAGGAAGTGCAAAAAATGTTGAAACAGCCAATGAGAAGCTGCAGGTGTCTTTGTCGAAAATTCAAAACAAGTTGCAGGTGTCTTTGCCAAAACGTGAAAATAAAGTGCAGGTGCCTTTGCCGAAACTGCGAACCTGGGAAGTTTCAGCAATCTGCAGGTACTGCATAGTGAGATAACTAATGGAACTAATGACAAGCTGCGGGTGCTTCCATTGGAAAGGGTTTATTGGCAGCACAAGTTTGCTGGCCTTAAATCTCACTTGAATAAAATAGCTAATCTGGTAAAGCAGAGCATCTGTACAGGCGGGAATAAAAAACCAGAGAAAACTCACCTGAGTAAATACGGATGGAAGAGCAGCTACGGTAGAAGAAATCGCATGGAGGAGCAGCTATGGTGGAAGAGCAAATAAGGTGTGATGCCCCAAGATCTAACTTGGAAAGAATGTCAATCAATTCCCAAACAATTTACCAGAGTTATCTAAAACTTTCGATTAGACAGTCTATCAAACATCTATAAAATTTAAAGCATCAATATACAAGTCGATTCATATCTCAAAAGTCATGTATAATACTCATGAACTACACTACAATCACCAGTTCTGAAATCTATCCTGAGTACAAAAGAATCAAAATCAATCAAAAGACAAAAACCTGAAGATCTGGATCAATTCCTATCTTCTGCTCCCTTGCCCTGACCTGAAAATATCAACCACATATAATGAGCTTTACAAAGCCCAGCAGGTCACCTAATACCTATAACTGAAATCAAAGCACGGCGATGCTATCAATATGCATGTCAGTCAATCAAATCAATATCAGTCAATGGTCAATGAATCTATGCAACGGAAATCCAATAGTCAATAAAGTCAGTCGATGCAGCGGTAGGCGAATCGATAAATCTAGCTCAATCAATCAGTACGTGAAATCTTCAAGAGAATCCGTCGATCAATCAAATCGATCGTATCGAACCAATCTGCATCGGGATAGTGAGGTTGCTGTTAACGGAGTGGTAATTCTGTTGTGAAAATAGAGGATAGGTGGTAGGAGTGTAATATTTAAGAATTAGGTAATAAATATATAATACACATGTTATAAAGTGGTATGTATGTAAAAATCCCAATTAAAAAATATGATGAGAACTAGAATTATATTAAAATTTAAAAAATTTTAAACATCCAAATATATAAAAAAATATCGCCGCTATAAAGTCCGGGCTTGAAGAAATAAAGAAAACTAAAACAAAAAATCGAAGACGATGCTGGCGCTTCCCTCTCCCCAACCTTCTCCTCCGCCGCTTTACTCTTCCTCACCCTCCTCCTCCTCCTCCTCTTCCGCCTCCTCCGCCAGTTCGATACTCCTCATAATCGTACTGATCATAGCCTTCTCCGTTCTCGCCTCAGTCTCCTTCCACCTCCTCCGCCACCTCATCTCCCGCCGCCGATGCTCCTCTCTTCCGCCTCCTTCCCTCCACTGCCCTCCTTCTTCACACACAGAACACACCTCCTCCGCCTCCGTGACGCCGCCGCCATCGGCTAAAGACCATCTCGTCTCCTCCTTCCCACCCGTCTCCCTCTCTTCCGCCGCCGCCGCTGTTCTCCCCAAATCCCCCGATTGCGCCGTCTGCCTTTCCCCTTTCTACCCCCGCGACGATCTCCGCCTCCTCCCCTCTTGCCGCCACGCTTTCCATCTCAAATGCATCGATTTGTGGCTTCAATCCACGCCATCATGCCCTCTCTGCAGATCACCCGCCGCTCCGGCAGAGGAAGCCTGCGGATCGAGCAGCTTTCAGACCGAAATCGAACTTTCTTACTCTTTGGAGTCTTCGCTCGAACACCTCGTGGACGAGGAAGTAGAGGCCGCGGTGGGCCGCTTGAGTAGAACGCAGAAGGAGGAGAATGGCGAGGGTGGACAAGAAGTGACAGCACAGCGTGGGATGCCAGAGGAGATAGAAGGTGGTGGCGGACGTGGGTGGCTGAGGGAGTACTTGGATCGGGTGGCTTCCTCGGCTTCATCATCGTTCAATTCACTGACATTCTCTGGAAGGTTAAGCAGCCACCACCGATTTGACTCGGGTTCCATCGAATCAGTCACCGCCGGCGATGGCCGGAGCTGGGATTTGGAGGGCGTGGACTGGGTGGAGGAGAGCGGGCTCGCCGGAATCTATCGGTGGTTCGTGGGCATATGACTGTAACACAAATTTTGTTCAATTTTCTCTCATTAATGGTTCTCAAACAAAGAATAGAGTCAATTTCTGATCGAATCCAAACAGTTCAATTCGCAGAAAGATAAGTTATTTTCATGCAATCAATAGGATGTTCTCTTCATAAATGAGAATTAAGATTGTTTGAATTCGATCAGAACAATAGCACTCTGCTATGATAGGACGATGTGTTAATTAATTTTATTTTAATGATGAATGATAAATTATAAAATAATTTATATTTATATTTTTTAAAAAATAATATATCTAATATTTATCATATTTTACAAAAAAAAATTTCATGCAATCAATAGGATGTTCTCTTCATAAATGAGAATTAAGATTGTTTGAATTCGATCAGAACAATAGCACTCTGCTATGATAGGACGATGTGTTAATTAATTTTATTTTAATGATGAATGATAAATTATAAAATAATTTATATTTATATTTTTTAAAAAATAATATATCTAATATTTATCATATTTTACAAAAAAAAAACTTTGAAATTTATTTATGATATATTATAAAAATCTTTATCAATGCATCATTATGCTAAAGATTGATTGGATAAAAAACTTTAATTATTAATTCTTCTACAAAATGACTTTGAAGATGAAAACCATAATACAAATTAAAATAATTTTGAGTTCTTCAATATTATTTGCTTAGGATGCTTTTCTTATCAAAAGAAAGAAGTCCATCTACTTCTCGTGTTCAAGTTATATCGAATATTATTTCATTCTTTCATGAGACTCTTGATGAAAAAATCGTCACCAAGACAATGATTAGTCTCTTCTAGGAGAGATTATTAAGTTCAGAGTCCGGACCGAAGTTGTGTCTAAGCAAAAGCATAATAAAAACGCAGTGGTGAACAATGACTGTGTTTTTACATCACTTTTGCTAGGTACATTTACAAAAATCAAACAGTTCACCGGTCCGGACTCCACACATAATAATATCTTCTTCTAGGGAGTTGAGCCAATATGAAGAAATTTATCAACATTAAAAAAATAGTATTCCATTAACAATCCTCAAGCTGTTTTTTTTATAGCAATATTCCTATTTATAAATATATTTCAAAATGCTACAACAAAATATCCCCCTTTGATATTTAAAAAATATATATTATTATTATTATTATTATATTATTCTATCTTACCTTAAAAAAATATGTGAGCTACACAAAAAAAAAAATAATAAAAAGGGGAGAATTGAGCATCTAATGGAACATTATTTATCTGAAATTAAATCACCAATTAAAAACTTCCCATGAAATTATTGCAAGTTTATGGACGTTAGAGCAGTTGAACTGTGAACATAAAAGATTTAAGATACAGGATCTGATTAATGATTTATTAACGACAGATTAAATCTTAATGATATTTTAAATGCTCTGTTAAGCTAACCAACCTAACTTATCACCTGTAGCAACTGCATGTACTTAACAAAATTTAATAATAATTAAGGACTCAACGTGCAGATTTGGTCAACGGTTAGTCCAGATTTGGATTAGGTTTGACTAAATTTAAAATTTGATTAGAATTTTGTTTGATTTTCATCAATGAGCACATTTTCTTGCTTGAAAATGAAAATTATATGTTTTTGTTTTCAAATAAATTTTATTTTAAAGATTTTTTTAGTATAATTTATAGATTTAAATAATTATTGATTTATAAAATTGCAATCATTTTATTATTATTATTACTATTATTATCTTGGTTATTTTTAAAATGATGAAAATATTTATTAAGGCGAAATATTAATGCCGTATTGAACTATAGAGCAACAAAAACATATTTCAGTATTTAAAAAAAGTAAAAAATCAATTAATTTTTATAATAGTTTTAATATAAGTAATTTTTAAAAATAAAAAATAAAATCTGCCAAACATTTTATTTTTATATTAACTTATTTAAAAAAAAATAAAAAAATGATTATCAAATATTCCTTTGCTTTTTCAAGACTTTTTTATTAACTTGAAGCAATCAAATAGCTTAAAAGGATTCTCAATAAGAAGTTATTGCTTCTTGTAATGTTATATTACAACAGTGTTTCCTGCTTGGTGCAAATAAAAGTTAGGGGATTTGCATTACATGGCATTTATAATATTAAATATATAAAATTTTCTATTATTCAAATAGTTAGGGCAATAACAAAATTCTTTATTATTTGATTCTTCAAAAAATTTGTCTGCCTCATTTTTTTTTTCTTTAAGTTAAGGGTTTTAGTCATTACACCCCTAAAGTTTTTAAAATAGTATGGTCTTTAATCCAATTACCCCTAAAGTAATTAAACATATTTTGTAGAGGTGTTATTTTTAGGGAACGATGAACCAATAAAAGAGAAATAGTAAAAAGAATTCATTATTTTATTATTTATTAATTTGAATTCCAAAAATATCCTTACAACCAAAATTTGTTCTGAGGATGCTGCCACTGGAAACCTCTGTAGGGGGACTGGCTTTGGACTCCTCAACCTGAGCGGTAAGGTCGAACCCCGCTAGGGGGCACTGTCCTCTTGGACCCCCGACATATCTGCGAAGTGTACAACCCATTTTCTTGGTCGCTATTGACCTATTTTATTGTAGTGAAAGGTTGAGCTAAATTCAAGGCAAGACCAACAGTTACTTATAATGCCCCTGAAAACCTCTACAGAGGCACTGCCCTTGACCCCACAACCTGATCGGTCAGGTCGAACCCCTTCAAGAGGCGCTGGCCCTTTGGACCCCCAACATATCTAAGAAGCATATGACCCATTTTTTGGTCGCTATTGACCTATTTTCTTGTAGTGAAGTTCGAGCTAAATTAGTGTAGAATTATTGTAACGAAATATGGTGGGATTAGTTTGTGAAGGGTAATGAGACTAGTTGTGACCAGCATGATGTGAAGAATGATGAGATCTCATAGAAAAGAGGTGATGAGATCGAAAACTTGGTGGCAGGATTATAATGGGAGTCAATATTTTTTATTCTATTTAATTTTTGAGTGTTATATATTTAAATAGTAATATTTAAATGTTAAATTAAATATGTAAATGATATAATTATATATATAATTTTTAAATAAAAGTTAATAAAACTATAACATAAAATGAAATAATTTAGAAGTATAACCATATAAAATCTGGAGTTGAACTCCTAAATTATCGGTTCAAATCTGTTCAGATAGATTACCAAACCATTTGTCCATATAATTTTTCTTTAGACTTTGAGGTGGTTGGAGAGTTGGAACTAAAAATGTCGGGCTCAATTTTTGTTACTGTTCGTAAATTGGGCTAGCAACATAGAAGATCCAGCCCAAACAAATCTAAAACAGGCCTTTCTGCCTGCGGCAAAGCCCAACCTCAAGCCTCAACAGCGAAAGAAGGGGTAAATTTTTTTGGAAAAAACTTGCTGAAATTTTAATGATATTTTGAGATCAGTTAATTTTGAATTTTAATTTAATTTACTAAATATACATTTATTTTGTTGAATTCATAATTATAAAGAACATATATTAGAGGAAAAACAGTGAAAAATACCATATTTAAAAGGCTTCGTTCGGGACAGTTTTTGACCATTACTTCATTATTGTTTTGGGTAAATTTTTGTGCTAGAAAGATGTAGAAAATAATAAGAAGGCTGTCCCACATGAACGACACATATTTAAAGGTCTTAACGCTATATGATAAATAAGAAATATATACGAATTTTTAATAGCTTCTTATTATATGATTATGGATGGCAAGTAGCCAATATTACAAGAAAATATTTAGTATTCTAGGGCTAAAATCACACATGAATGTATGCTATGGGTTGGTTGAAGCATCAACTTGAATGGTGTTTCTTGTTATGATGGATGAAGTTGCAAACTTATTAGTTGAAGTTGTCAGGTTACCAGATGAAGTCGTCACACGGTGGCCAAATGATTGAATGAGTATTGACTAGAGGCTTCTAAACATAAGTTAGTAAGGCCCAATCTAAGTCTTGGCAAGTTCACAATGATCTTATTGAGTTCGACATGACTTGGGTGAGTTTGCTATCTCCATCTGTCTCATTCCACTAAGTTATCTTCATCTGGCCTAACTTTACTTGAATTGAGCCCATGGAATATTTGGGTGTATAATCTAAATTAAGCCCGAGGGGCCCTCTCCGCAAGAAGGAGATTTCTCTCTCCCTTCTTATTCTCTTCCTCACGATGAGGCATTCTCCTAGTCCTGTTCGGGTGGTATGCCCTGTGCAGGTCTACGGCCCGTCTCATTGAGTAGGAGCCTTCTCCTCTTTCTTCGAGAGATCTTGCAGAGGTCTGATGTCGGGAATAAGTCTGATGATGGGTGAAAGTCTGACGTCGGGTAGAAAAAGTTCGTCAACGGGCATAAGTCCAACGACAGACAGAAATTCAAGGTCAGGGAGAAGCCCGACGAAATTCCGGCGATGGGTAATAATCCGACGACGAGTGAAATTTTGGTGTCGGGTATAAGTCCGGCATCAGGTAGAAGACCAATGACGAGAGTTGAAATCCCACGTGGATAATTCTGTGTGAAAATATTCCAAGACGTAACATCGGGTAGACCACAACTCATATTTTCAGACTTCTGAAACTTTGACATCCAAAAATAGGGGGCAACTGAGACGTCATTAAAAAATTATGTTGATCGGGCACGAATCTCGATGAAAAATCAAGTTGGAAACTTCCAAAATTAAAATTGGGATCATCCAAACTCCGATTTCATCAAACTTATATTTGAACTGAACGTCTCAAGAATACGAACCCAACAACACAAAATTCGACTCAATCCGAGTCCAAATGAGTAGAAATCAAGTACCCGAAGCACTGTTGGAAGGTTTGAACCACAATTTTGATTACCAAACAGTTTCCAAACATTACGTGTTTATATTTGAATCGAGTGGTTCGACGAAACAAATCCAACGAGCCTAAGATCGTCAAAATCTAACTTCATTAAGACCTTCAAATATCTGACAAATGGTTCACAATCAAGGGATTCAATATTAGCTGTCCATTCAACCACTCCCCATTTATCCTTTATCTCTCACCTATTTATGGGTCATGCCACTCTAGAAATCTATAAAGAGACCCCTCATTTCTCTTGAGAGGGGGCTCCACCAAGAAGAGAAGAAGAGAA